GACCGACCCTCATGCCCGGGGGAGAGAGAGAGAGAGAGAGAGAGAGAGAGACAGAGAGAGCCCTGGCGAAAGAAAGAGAGAGAAAGAGAGAGAGAGAGAGAGAGAGCGAGCGAGCGAGCGAGGGAGGGAGGGAGGGAGCGAGGGAGGGAGTATGCTGATGATTTATTGATAGTAGTACAGGGGATAGACGAAGCTACAGGAAGAGCCCGGAGCGTCAGGTAATCGCATTCTGATTCTATTTTTTTCCGAACACTTTGTTGGTGCACCTTTTTAGAAGCCTCATGTACGGGTCTTGCAGCGCCTCTGCCGAGATGTCTGCCCATTCTCACATGCAAATGCTTGGCAATCGCACCCGTTCGTGTTTCCGAACGTCACGAGAAACATAACAGTCTCTGCCCCTTGTCCTTTGCGACAGCGGCCCTAGAAGTGCAGGCTTCCTCACCCCGAGCCCGGGAACCCGAAACATCTCGCTAATGGCAAGCCCTAGCCGCGGCAGAATATCACACTCTGGACCCGGCCCGACAACCTCTTCGTATGTATACATCTTCCCTCGTCCAAAACATGAACCTCGAGCCCTCCGAGAAGAGACCAGAACCCTCCAGCAGCTGCCCAGAGCCTCACGCAGAGGTGGCGACTTGGTGGCTGCGCTTCCACCCGAAGGTGAAGGGCCTGCCCTTCAAGGAGTCGTGAGCCTTCGGTCTTAGCAGTATGTGTGCTGTACCGAGAGAAGGTTCAGCAGGACAAAGTTCTTTGTGGTGGTGGCAGTGGTGGTTGTCGTCTTCTTTGTCGGTGGTAGCCTGGTAGCACTAGTGTACTAGTGAAATCAATCCAGACCACACTGCTGCTACTGCCTGCACCACTATCACAGCCCAACGCCACCACCAGCAGCACCATGACGACGACAACAACTGCTAAAATGCTACAGCTGCTGCTGCCGCCGCCTCCGCTGCTGCCGCTGCTGCCAACTCTTTGTCGATGATGACGAAGGGAAGTTAGTTGGCAGAGATTCTGGTTATGGCAGATGAAAAGAAGTTTGCAACCAGCAACATCTTCAGTGGCAGCAACATAGTCGTCATGGATGGTACGACGATGAAGCTGCATAGTTCTCTGACAACCATGGCGCAGGGAGTTAAACCTGCAGTTCGATACTGACATTACGCTAAACTCAGCGCAGTTATGTCTACAAGGCTTTCTGCCAGCCCTCTGAGCCAGATTGTTCGTATCATATAGCCGAGACGAGAACATGGCTGCTGCCAGGCTTCCCTTTGGGCTTCCCTTTAGGCGCTGTACATATATATATATATATATATATATATGCATACATATATATATATATATATATACATATTCACACACACATACATAAACCTTTACATATATATATATATACACATACAGATATAGATATATCTTAGATCCATTGAGTTCGCAAGAGTCGGCAAGCTGTGAACCCTGAACTCCAAGCGTTCCACCACTCCGCTCCTGGAGGACGGTGTCAAGCGTCAGGACCGCGTGAATGCACGGGTGCGCTACATCGAAGGCGATATGGAGGAGCTTCGAAGTCTGCTTCGTTTGATTCATGCGAGCGTACGAAGTTGAAAAGTTCAGGCTGAGGTGGGTGGAAATGTGGTGGAACTGCCGGGGGCACATGTCGTCAACAACTCTCTCACGGGTTGTCGGCTTCCTGGTGGTCAGCTTGGCTTCAGCCATTCTCCAGGTTTGTTGTCGCTTTCCATTCTCTTCACTAGGGGCCGTGCAGCTGTCCTGAGACTTGGAACTCGTGGTACTCCGGAGCTTCCTAGCGTACGCCGTGACTGCTAGTACCCGGCCCATCAGGGCCCGCTGACTTCTTGGTCTTGCAGTATTGGCCCGGGCAGTCGCGTGCTTCTCCTCAAGAGGTGCAGAACACATCAGAACACTACCGCATACAGTGGTGTGGCTGAGATGGAGTCGCTGTAGAGACAAAGGCTTTTACTTCATGATCTGCAAACAAGTGTATGGAGGAACCCTTTGAAATCTTCAAAAACACCGTACAGCCCTCGAGACTCTTTTTGGAGTCCTCCTGGAGCCTTCAAAGACAAGCCAATGTAGCAGACTTATACCCTAAACCCCTAAACCCCTAAACCCTAAACTCTAAACCCTAAACCCTAAACTCTAAACCCTAAACCCTAAACCCTAAACCCAAACCCTAAGAGCCCTATAAAAAGCCCTAAAGCCTGCTCCCAGGAGGCCGAGCGCACTGAGTGGCTGAAGAACTTCGATGCCCCCCCGGAGCCGCTGTCGGCCGAGGAGAAGAGCTCCTTCCTCAAAGGCCGTTATAGGGTTTAGGGGTTTAGGGGTTTAGGGGTTTAGGGTTTAGGGTTTCCCGAAAGGCCGCTTTGGGGCGTAGGGCTTTATAGGGCTTTAGAGGGTTTAGGGCTTAGGGTTTTATAGGGTTTAGGGCTTAGGGTTTTTTAGGGTTTAGGGGTTTAGGGGTTTAGGGTTTAGGGCTTTAGGGTTTTAGAGGGTTTAGGGGTGTTGGGCTTTGGGTTTTATAGGGTTTCGGGGTGTTGGGCTTAGGGGTTTATAGGGTTTAGGGGTGTTGGGCTTAGGGTTTTATAGGGTTTAGGGGTGTTGGGCTTAGGGGTTTATAGGGTTTAGGGGTGTTGGGCTTTGGGTTTTATAGGGTTTCGGGGTGTTGGGCTTAGGGTTTTCTAGGGTCTAGGGTTCGGGGTTTCGGGGTTTAGGGCTTAGGGCTTATAGGGTTGAGGGTTTGGGGCTTAGGGTTTCAATCGGGTTTAGGGCTTATAGGGTTTGGGGTTCAGGGCTCAAGGTTTACAGGGTTGAGGGTTTGGGGGGAGATTAAAACGAGAGGCCTGGACGACGTCGCCATCTCCTCGGATGCCTTCTTCCCCTTCCGGGACTCGATCGACCATGCGACCAGGTCTGAGCTTGCGGGGTCTTTCAGGGTCTGGGCCTTTTTAGTGTTTCTTGGCGTTTCGGATATTTGGGGGCGTTTGGGGCTTTAAATTTTTCTTAGGGTGTAACATAGGTATATTATACTTATACCATAGTTATAATAAGGAACCCCCCCAAAACCGTGTTCTAATTAGAAAGGCCCCTTACAGTAGTCGCGTTTTGGCTTTGCCTGCTTTGGGAGGCGAGAGTAGCCATGGTTTAAGAGGTTTTGGTGGGGAGCTCAAAGGAAGGCGGTACAAGTCTTCACCGATCCCTAAACCATAAACTTTGAGCCCTAAACCCTCAGCCCTAAAAAGTCCTAAACCCGAAACCCTAAACTAAGCCCTAACAATCGTAATCCCCAGCCCTAAAAACCCTAAAGCCTGACTCGGGAGCAGCAACGTTCGGGAGGGTCTTTGTCACATGAAAGCATCTGCAAGGCCAACGTTGTTGCAATGGCCGCGCAAATGTTTCGCATGTCGCTTGAGAGGTGCCGACACGAAATGAGTGTTTCGATGCATTTTGCGAAAGTTGAATGAGTCGTGATCTTGAAGAGTCCTGTCTTGCGACAGGCTTGGTGTGAAGTTCGTTGCCCAGCCCGGCGGGTCTGTGGCAGACAAGGAGGCACTGATGGGCCAGGGGAAGGAAAGGGGTGTTTGCAGGATGTTTTAGAACTTGAGTTCCTAAACGCCGCAGCTGATGCTGGGGTGTATAGGGTTTAGGGTTTTGCGTTTCCGGCCCTTGTCAAAACAAAGGTTTCGCATCCAATATATAGGGGTCGGAATAATGGTATAGTATCCCCTAGACAGGCTCATCGTATAGCATACCCCTTAACCCTATTCCAAGTACTTGTAAGTGAAGCCCCGATATTGCTTTGCACAACTCCAAACACCACGTCTGAAAGCCCAGCCGAAAGCTCGAACGCACTCCAAAGCCATACACTCCCAAGCTTCCAAACTATAAAACCAAGATTCCCAGCTCCATGCTCCGCGACTGATTGTTACCAGATCCTACGTCTCTATAGCACTAAACAAACCACGTCATCTGCATCCAGGTCATCGATGCCTGCAACACCTATGGCATGACTATGGCGTTCACTCAGCTCCGCCTCTTCCATCACTGAGGAGTTTGGCTCCCCCTTTGAAGGAGCTTCTGCTCACTCAACCCCTAAGCTCTAACCCCCAGGCCCAGAGTTAGGCCCCTTTTGGGGTTTCGGGTTTAGGGTTCACAGTTTCAGGGGGGTTCCGACTCCCAGTTAGTGCCTTCGATGCCGAAGCCCGCAATGGCCGGTTTCGCTTAAGAAAAGAATTACTTTGCTCCGGTCTTGGGAAGCCAGTGAGGGATCCCGGCACCCAACGCAGGGTTTTAAGAGTTTATGGCCATGGCTGCCAACCTGAAAGCCCATATAAGCCCTAAACTCTTGGGATCGTGATCTCCTCTCTGGCTTGGGCCGGAGGTCAGCAGCCGAGCTGCAGACCGCCACAGTGGACGCAAAGTTTTTGATCATCTCTTTCGCAGCGGACAATGACACGGAGTTACATGCTCCGCCTTGGTTCCACGCCCTACGTACAACCCTTTCCCTTTATCCTTGACCAACAACCCCGGAGATGCATCTCCAGCTAAAATTAATTCCTATACTAATATAATCTAATATTATATAGTATAATATAATATAATATAATATAATATAACATAATATAATATGTACTATTTTGGGGGTTCCGTATCATAGTTTCCTCTGTTAGCTCTCGGCCTTGTCCTGGAACTGCGCATCTTGATTGTAGGACCCCTCGGGGACGACCCCGAACAACGGTTTAGGGTTTAGGGTTTAGGGTTTAGGGGATCACAAGCCTAGACTTCGCTACTCCCGCGTGAAAGATATTCGACAGCATACATGTAACTCCGGCCGCGACCCTCTTGTGAATGTTTTGTAGGCAGCCTTTTGATCCGCTTTGCAGCGGAACGTTGCATCGCACAGAGGCAAAACTGGTCTTTGGGAGATCTCGGGCTAGTACCGAGACCTCTGCACACTCCACAGCTTACGCCAAACTCCCCTCAAACTGACATTTTGAAGACTACACTCCTAAGCCCTGAACCCCAGGCCATTTCGGAAGGGAGGTTCAGTCCATGTTGTGAGCTTGCCCCACCTTTGCCATGGCGAACAGAAGGATAGCATGAGGTTTTGTTTATGAATTTTATAGAAGTTGTGCAGGGTCTTGCATTGGGGTTCGTTAGGAATGACTTTTCGCGCACATGCCATGATAGAAAAACCAACCAGCTAGAAGCAAACTTATTTTGTTGTGGGCCAACGGGCCTTATAGTAGCCAACGAAATTTGATCTATGAGCCTTGGCTGTAAGTCCTTGTGTGATCTGATAGTTGTTCTTACAGTCTTTTTCCCGATGGGCTTTCGGTGAAAAGGTGCTTTAGCGCCATCATTCCATGCACCCGAAATAGCTATCCCGGACAAAGTCTAAGCAGCGTCCGAAAGCAGTAACTCTACCCATAGCTACCGTATGCCTAAACGTAGCCGCAACCCCCCAAAACGCTAATCCCCAGTCTTCTCAAACACCCTAGTGATTAAACCTATTTAAACCCTGTTACAAAAACAACACCCCAGACCCTTAAACCTCTAAGCCCAACCCCCCTCCCACCCCCCTCTTTTGAAGCTGTGTCTGAGGTGCCCTTGCAGTGGCAGCTGAAGGAGCTCTTTGAAATCCTCGGTCAGGGCCTGGAAGGACCCGCTTTAAGAGGGCCCCGAAGGGCTCTTAGGGTGTGGCCTTTCGGGTTTAGGAGTTAAAGAGTTGGGGGCTTTAGGAGTTTAGGATAGGGTTTAGGGGTTTCAGAGGTTTCGAACTAAAAAGCTTCCCAAAAAAGAGCTCGACTGCCTGGAGTCCCAGTCTCCTTCGGTAGTACTACCTGACTAGCATCGCCCTAATCCCAACCACCCCAAACCCTAATTCTCCAGCCCTAAACCCTGAACCCCTAA